AGATGCAGTAAAGCAAACCAAGTATTGGGACAGCTAGCCCCCCTCTTACAGAGTAAGACAATCCCAATCAGCACAAAGAGACATCTTATTCAAAGCATATTTATTCCAACTCTGTGCTACGAGTGCCAGACATGGTCACTCACAACAAACCATAAAAGAAAATGAGTAACCACGGAAATTAGATGTCTGAGAAGGGCTGTAGGAGTGACCATAAGAGATAAGATAAGGAATGAGATCATAAGAGAACAAGTCGGCACAGAACCAATTCTGGATTACATACAAAGACAGCAAGTGAAATGGTTTGCCCACTTAGAGAGAATGCCTTGTGACACCATACCATACAAAGCATACATGGAAAGAGAAGAAGGACGTAGAGCACGGGGTAGACCAAGAACAAGATGGAAGGATAACGTCAGAGAAACTCTACAACAGCATGATGTGCCTATGGTCGAGGCAGCCAGAAGAGCTAGAAACAGAACCTTATATCTCCCTCGACACCCACAGCGGTAAAAGAGGAAGTGAAGAAGAAGAATAAGATCTTACTAGTAGTAGTAATAGTAGTAGTACTTAATATAGGTAGTGGTAATAGAAGTAGCAGTAGAAATTTTAATAGTAGTAAAAGTAGAAAACCGGGAAGGCTAACTCGGTCAACAAATGTCTGCAATAGTCGGATGTGTCGGCCAAAAGGTGAATATATCGTAGCCGTTCTATAAACGGGCACAACGAAATTACATCTTCGGCTGAAGGCAGAATTATTAGTAATTAGTTAGTTAGTTAGTTAGTTAGTTAGTTAGTTAGTTAGTTGGGTTATCCTCATTGCACTCCGGACATGTCCATAGGTGCTCAGATCCTCCCCTCAGTATGAACCCCAACGTCCGATGGCTAATAGTACCAGTTCTATGTTGATTAACAAGTCTTCTGGCGTAGCTGGTGTGCGTCTCGTTTTTTGCTGTGCTGATCTTAATTCCCAAGTCTGCCATTCTGGCGAGTGATGTGGATTCACTGCCACCAAAGTCGTCTATCCTTCCCATTTCTCTGAGGGCATTGATAATATCAGCATGATCCATAGGCTGACCGTCGGTAGTGATAGCGGATCCAGCCAACCAGTCAGCTCTTTCATTTCCATCGACGCCTGCGTATCCCGCAACAAAAATAAAGGTGACTCCACGGACAGTGGACTTCTGTAATGATTCAAACCATTGTCTTCGCACTGAACCTGCCTGAACCCTTCGGATCATACTCATTGAATCACTGAGTATACACACGCGGGTGTATTTTTGTGTTTCAAGCCAGGCAAGCGCTTGTGTCACTGCCATCACCTCCATCGTCATGCTGCTGGTTGTCATGGAGAAGGCGCCGTTGGCTTCTTTGACTGTTCTGCCCGCTGAGCGTGCTGTAAATGCCCATGCGCTTCTTCTTTGGCGTATAACGGATCCGTCTGTATAGATTATTGCATCTGCTTCGTCTGAATTTTCACCGATGAGAGCGTTGACCTCTGCATTAACAGCAACAGGATTCTCTTCTCTACATCGCCTGTTGAGTGTGACAATACAGGAAAATGTACAAATAAACGCCTGAGGCACAGGTATCCATTCTGCACCAGGTATGATGTCGGTTAGGCTGCATATTTGCCTAATAACATCTTCTGCCCGACCTAGCCACGATTTCCCCCTCTTCAGTCTGTCGCCCTTTTCACTAAAAAGCGCTTGATGCAGTGGGTGTTTCTTATCAGCACATATTTTGAGATATGCCCGAGCCCTCCACATCCTGATCCTTTGGTTCATTGTTGGAAAGTCAAGTAGATACCTCATTGCTCCACAGGATGTGTCTCTAGTACATCCCAAAATAATGCGCATGGCTTCATTTTGCACCTTTTCAAGTCGTTCAATCTGGGTAGCACTGACAGTGAGGATGGCCAGAGCGTATTCAATGGGGGAAAGGACCAGACCGTAGAATAGAAGTATTAGTAGTCTTTGCTCAATGTTGGAAGCAGCCATAATCCTCATTGCAGATAGACCTTTGCGTGCTTTTGTTATCACATGGTCAACGTGTTCCCTGAATGACAAGCTGCGATCGAACCTCACCCCGAGAAAAGTCATAACGTTGGTTCTGATCAATACATTATCACGCATTTTCACTTCTGGTAAGTCCGACTTGACAATGTGATTGTTCAAAGAGAACCATGACACTGATGCCTTCGAAGGATTGACATAGGCATTGGAACCATCACACCAGGCGACAATTCGATCGAGTTCTTTGTGCATAGTGCTGGCGATCTCCTGTCTATCACGCCCTCGTCGATAAATCAAAATGTCATCAGCAAATGACAAAGTCCTCCCCTTTCCATTCAACTGCTGCTCAGTGATCATCACCGTATAAACGTTGAATAAGACTGGTGATAGCGGTGATCCCTGTGGCAAGCCTGGACATATCGTTTGCGGTTCTGAGGACCAGCTACCACATCTTAGTACAATCTTTCTCTGGAACAGGACCGCAGCAATCCAGCGGATCAGAATAGGATTAACTTCTAGTTTAAGCAGTAATTGCATTAAATAATCGTATGGTACTTTATTGTAGGCATCTTCTAAGTCCAACACTGCCGCACATGTCTCTTCTTTAATCTGAAATCCCTCGTACACATCGTAGGCGAAAACTGCAGCATTGAACCATGTCTCTTTATTTAACCTGTACCCTCCAAGTGTTGGTGGGAACTTATCATGTAGTTCCAAGTAGGTGGTCAATCTTTGTGCGACAATTTTTTCCAAAAGTTTGCCAACAGTATTCTGCATCGAGATGATTCTGTAGCCGCAGATCTTCGAGTGGTCTTTATTAGGCTTTGGTAGTGGGAACAAATAACTATGGAGCCATTCCTCTTGTATCTGGCCACTCTGGATGCTGATATTGAATTCCTTTGCCACGCTTTTCAAATCAGCATTCGACATCATCAGCATGTCGTTGTATCGGATGCCGTCAGGGCCTGGAGCAGTGCTGCGCGATTTCTTGAGGCAAGTTCTTAAGGTATCTGCAGTGATTGTGAGATCAGTGCCTAGCACAGTGTTCTCGCACAGCATCGACAGTTTCATCTTAACCCTCATTCTTGTAGCTTCGTCTTTTTGGTCAGTTTGCTCCAAGTAGCGCGCCAGAAGGGTTTTTCCTTTATCAGCATCAGTTCTCTGCCATATCAGGTCTGTACCCTGAAAATCAGGGATACCCCTTTGTCGTGCGGCACCGTGCATGCTCCGTTGAAGGCGCCAGAATGTCACAAGAGATCCCTCGCAGCAAACGCTCTTGCAGAATTCGTTCCATTTCGCTGTCTTAGCTTCCTTCGCAATTAACTTGAAAGCCACTGTCTGCTTGTTGACCTCATCTTTCAGATAGATCAGGCGTTCAGAAAGTGACGGATCAATTTTCCTTGCCTTTTGCCATGCCTTGACAGCTTTCCTTTTTTCTAGCCACGCCATGTTGACTACTTCATTCCACCATGGTGGATGGGCCCATCTCTCCCGCCGTCTGCGATCTGCTCTTGTTTTACGTCGTCGGATTTTGCTAATGGCATCTTGCCCTGTACGGTCATATATAAAAGCAGGCACATTGATTAGATGACCTTTGTTGTTGCTCTTCTCTACCAGGACGACGCAAGGAAAGTGATCACTGTCGTGGTATCCCAGTGTGCTCCACCTGCATCCTGATGCAATGGAGGGAGACACTAGGGCCAGGTCAATTACGCTGTCAGAATCCCCTTGTCGTGTTGCCATTCGGGTAACCTTTCCGTCGTTCAAGCATACTAGATTGGCAGACACTAAGGCATCCTCCAGGTCTTCCCCCTGTTTATTAGTGATTACTTTGCCCCACTGGTGTCCTCTGGCGTTGAAATCTCCGCAGTAAAGGACTTTCTTTTCCTCCTTCTGGAGCAAACTCTGCCATTTCGCTGTATCCACCTTTCCATTGCAGGCGTACACATTGACAATCACAAACTGGGCCGGGCCCATCACCCTGACTGCGTGTACTTGTAGGTCGTCAGTATTCCACTTAGACATGTCCACCTCAGACACCGGTATGTGGTCACGAACAAGAATGAGCTGTCCGAGGTGCCGTCTTTTGTAGAAGGATTGGAAGCCCGCAATTTTAATGATCTAGAATTATTAGTAGTAGTGGTCGTATGAGTAGTAGCAGTAATAATAATGATAATAATAATAATAGCAGCAGTAGTAATAGTATTACTAGTAGTAATAGTAGTAGTGTTTGATACTGTTGTTTGTGTTGCTAAAATTATAAAAGTTGTAACTGTAGGAAACGGTATTGTTTAACTAGTAATAGCAGCATTAAGAGTTCTAGCAGCTGCAGTGTTTAGGTCGCAGAAGCAGTAGTGCTAACAGTAGCAGTCGGAGCAGCAGTAACAACATCAACAGCAGCAGTGAAGCAGCAGGAACAGTAACGGTAACAACAGCAGAGATGCCATAACACAAACAATAACAGCAGCTGCAGCACTAGCCCTACCGTGTAAACCCCATTGTTGGCGATGCCAACGATGCGTGTGGAGAAGCCGATCTGCTCGTACAGGACGTTGTTGTTGATCCTGCAGGCTAAGTCGAAGCCTCCAACATAGAGCTTGCCCTTGTACTTCAGGTTGAATGCGTGGAGCTGGGGAAAGCCATTGTAAGTAGCCTGACTGTGAGCACACCACATACACATACAAGACGTTTTACCGGCTGGTCTGGTGGATTATGACGAATCTCGAGCGCTAATACGATTGGGTGATCTGGGAGTCAAACATGACAAAGCACGTCTATTCCACCTTCCAGGCCGAGATCAGAGACATTATAACCTACTCCTGATTGGAATACTCGGTAGAGACTCCTTGAAGTCTCTGCTGCTGCATTAAGGGATTGAGAACGCATAAGGAATATCCAATGTGCATTAACGTCGATTGTGATAACATAACACACGAGAATCACAGTGTTGACTCTCAGTCTGTGTTGCTTATACCAGTGTTCTTCAATCCGTTTACACCCGCCAACCGGGAAACTAGAAGATGCTATTTTTGTTTTCTTTCTGATATACGTCCCAGGAGTGTTGCTTCTGAGATACAAAGCGCTGCAAGAACATCCATTTAGTTTCTCTGTTTCGTAATTATTCCTGACATGGCCCTTACTTGCACAGCTACTTGCGGGGCTGTGTCTTATTTGCTAGGCAGCAGCTAGCGCCTGAATTACGATGTCGCTACATGACTGGGTGGACACTGTTACCAGACCACGTATACCTGTCTGCTAAACGACACGGGTCGGTGGACCACAGTTTGAAAAACTCTGGGCTAAGCAGCTAAATGTGACATTAGTGGATACTTAGTATTATCATGTCTATGGAACAGAGACCAACATCCTCAGGTACAGTACAACTTCTGTTAACCGTTACTATCTGGACCAGGGCTGTGACGGATAAATGAATAGGCGGATAGCGGAAATCTCTTTCAAAATGTGTATGCTGAAATTAGTTCTTAGCGGGCTTGGGGCGAAAGTGAAAGTAAAATCTTTTAAACATGAAAAATGCATCCATTTTAATTTAATTTTATAAAACGATCAATATAAACTCTACTATAAGAGTAACAACTTACAGAAATGTATTGTAATGCTATAAATCTTCTTCTTGTTCAGCATTCCGAGCCTTGAGGTTTATTGCTGCAGGTATCGCCGGCCTCCATTCATCTCTCTGGTTGGCCTTCTCTTTCAAGTTGGCGACACTAAGTGCTTGCCGGTCTGTCTGGACATTATTTTCTCCATCTTCTTCTTGGTCTGCCTCGTGGTCTACGACCATTCAGTAACTTGTGTATACAATTGTTATCTCTTTGTCATCTGACATTCTCCTAATATGCTCCAGCCATTTCAGCCTAAAAGCTCTCATGAAACCAACCCATGCCAGTGATGCTATAAATCTACATTACTTTAAAATAATCTGTCATCCCCTTCAAGCTTTCTGAGCGGCCATGTTCCGTATCTTACTCAGAAGTAGGATCTGTGTTGCATTTGCCTTCTCTTGCATTTCAAAACAATCGATGCACTTTGATGTTATTGTTTCTGTTTCTGAGTGTCTAGCTGTAGGTATTTTGGGTAAGATTGGGTCCTTTTTTTTTTTTTTTTTTTTTCCTTTAAAGGCACTAACGGTTTACAGAAACGGACGGTTAAACGAGTGACGGTTATTTGGAATTTCACTGCGTTGTGTTAAACCTGTATTTTCATAGAGCAGGCAACTGATTACCTTTTCTTAGGACATTTCATGGTAACTAGTTAAGGCTGTTTCTTTCTGTGATCCCATATTTAGGTGTATAAGTAAAGTAAGTAAAGATCCCTTTTCACGCCTTAGGCGAATCGGGTGTATAGGAAGAAAGTCTTATATTTTTACAGAACCTTCGGCACTGGATGAGTAATGTGGTCAGCATTACGCCGGCCGTCTTTACTTCCCCTGAATATTTAGGTGTATATGGGACTAATCTGTCACAACGAACGACGCAAGGGAAAGAACCAAAATAAAACGACTATGTGGTCAGAGTGAAATTAAAGTTCTTTTGCTTCAAATGGGAGCCACGTTCTTACCGCACAGCACTGCTGAAGTACCCCTTACAGATGCTCTAACTGTACCTTCCGTGAAGACTGAACGGGGTATCTGGGACTGACCTTGATGTTCTTCCATCCAGCTTTTGTAATGTCAGGATGGTACGGCAAACCATTTTGCAGCATCCCGGAGGGGACAAACCAATCGGTCGATCCAATGAGAGCCACGGTAGCCTGGTGGTTGGACACTAGCCTGCCGATCCCAAAGTCTTAGGTTCCAATTCGTTTCAAGTGTTGTTGTTTTGTTTTTTGTTTTTTAATTTTGTTATTTTATTTTCAATTTTAAAATATAATTCGCTGCTTTAAGATCGATTAATCCTCAAATGGGTACCTGGTTATGTTCTGGGAAGCAAAGGCGGTCGGCACAATGTCGACACTTTACTCGTGGAGTGCCGATCGGTCTGTAACAATTTGAATCTAGAAACATATACTATTCAAACAAAGCAACACATAGCTTCTGACAGAAACATAATTTGTCCATAGTTTTTGATTGTCTATGTAAATTTTGCTTTCATCATTTTTTAGTTGTGAAATCTTGACTATTCTTGACAACTCAAAGAAGGAAGTTTGCCACTGCGTGCCTTTTTGGCAGCTAGCGTACAAGTCAGGTGGCCGTAGCTATTATGACTCTACTGTGATCATCTGACCGTCGTCGGGAGAACTGGTGACTATGACCAATTATCTGTCAGCTTTTCCCAAGCTCAGTCAACCACACGCGCCCATGGTTTCGCCTTACCCTGCTTTGCCTAACAAAGGTTGTGGAGGACAAAGAGGTACTCCACTTTACATATTATTACATGGACTACTTGAGGAATCTTACGTCACACTTGCAGAAGCCGACATTCTTTTTGCGAATCCTCAGGACGGTAGTAAGGCTTGTGAGCAGGTATCTGAGGAAGACAACATGATTTGATTGATTTGATTTGATTTGATTTGATTTGATTCAAGAACAGACATCACAGCACTCGGGGCATTTCCCATAAGCGCCCCGTCCCTATCTTCAGCAGCCAGCGAAGAGTCCCGATACTAATGGTGCCAGTAGCATTCTGATTAAACGTCCGTCTCGCCTTTCCTCATCTGTCAGAACCTCTCGTCACTCCCCGCTGCCTCAATCTCAGCAGACTGTGGTGATCCATCTGCTCCTCTGAACTGTACACGCTCTCCCACAAGGCACTAACCACGTCTGTCTTATCATGTATCAGTAGGTAGACAACATGAAAGTTTTGAGCACGTGGTTGGCCATCATCGGAGCGCTCACACATAGAACACCTCACACATGTATTGACGGACATATTTCACAGTATTTCTTCAGATGAAAGAGGGTGCTAAAATGTTACATAGAACTTTTTCTGCTGTGTGGCAGCGAATCTTGGAACGTCAATGAACACATTAGGAAGAATTCAAAAGCTACACACGTGTGGTTTCTGAATGTTACGAATACCTTTGACGGCCAGAGTAACTAACAACGATTGCTTGAAAGAAGCTTTTGAAAGTAGATCTCTATACACAAAAAATAATAAAAAGACAAACACTGTTCTTTGGCCACATAATGAGACGAAAGAGATTGGAGAACATCGTGACAACTGGAGAGATCAATGGAAAAAGACGTAGAGGCAGATGAAAAGAGATGATGCTGGATAAACTGAAACGATGGCATGGAGGGATATCATCAAGAGAGCTGTTCCAGGCGACCAGGGATCGTGATATGTGGAGACGCATGAGCGCCTATGCAAGTTTGCAGCGCACGTGATGATGATTACTTTAGACACATAGTCTTCTTCTAAAGTGAATGTCATGTAGCAGTGGTAGTCATGTCTATCCGCAATCTTCTGTTTAATATACTTTCAATCCTATTTTTCGCTCCCATTCTGCAGCTTTTCTCCTGCAACTTGCCCGCCGTCACGATGTACTTCAGTTTTCTCCTTTTCATGACACGGTCAAAGCAAGTAGATTGTCCTTTTTTTTAAATGTGAGTATTCAATTCTCTTCGTTATTTCATTTTATAAAAGCATCTTCTTTAGTCTTTTCTGTCTGTCTATGAGGTTCTAATCATTCGTCTATAAAACTATTTTGCCACCGCTTCTATATAATTTTCATCACTTGACCAATTGTTCATGATTAACTTCCGTATATCAGTATAGGATTTTATAAGACATCTCCAATACTCTTTTCTGTCTGTCTAGGAGGTTCTAATCATTCGCCTATAAAACCATTTTGACACCGCTTCTACTTAATTTTCACTACTCGAGAAATTGTCCATGATTCACTTCCGTATATCAGTCTAAGATTTGTATAGCTCTTGTGCACTGTCCATCCCACCTCAGTTGGTAAAGACTGCATAAATATTCTTCATTTTGTGAAAAGCTTCACTGACTTTCGTTGTTCTCTTTTTAACTTCTTTAACATATCTCCCATCTGCTATTATCAGGGTAACTAAGCAATTGAAGGTATCAACTTGCTAAAGGATAGTCCCACTTGCATTAATGTTGCATTTTGGAAGGTCCAAAGCTGAGTAAATTGAAAGTACACACACCTTTAATTGTACATTGGGTACATTTGTTGTTGTTGTTGTTGTTGGTTTTTTTTTTTTTTTTTCGTTGTGAAGCCTAAATTCTCATTTTTAAAAACGTCTGGCACTCGATGGGTCCTGTGGTGAATATAATGCCTGTCGCTTTTGCTCTCCAGGACATTTCCTGGTTGCAATTTTAGGATGGGAACCCTAAAACCTTTGGTCTGGCCGGCGAGCGTCTAGCCGCCGAGGTCCAGCGGTTCCCGTCAGGTGCATAGATAATAATTTTTGGCCGTCTCCACAATGGAGTTAGTGCAACAACAACATCGTTTTAAAAACTGAAGTTGATCCCTGGTACTTAGAGGATTGTGAAACATGTTCACATATGCACTTAAATGCATACTGCAGAATATATACAGCTACAAGCAGCAAGTCAGTTAAAACGAAGCAAAAACACTAGAGATACCTGCAGGGGAAGGGGAAAGGCGATGTTTCGTTGTTCATGTTTCTCACTTCAGGGTCATTGTACACCTCGCCAAACACGTTATCTGGCAAATAAAAACAATTCACAATTAATTAGTGATAATAAAAATCTGTTCCAAGTACAAGTCCTTTTGAGAAAAAAATGAAAAGGTCGACCACTTTCAGACTGCTGCTAGCTAGCCGAGGCTGCTAACAGTCTCCGCCTATATTTGGGGTCTGGGTTATTTGCGTCACTGTCGTGACTAAATTCGAGTATTTGCGTCATTTCTGGGCTTGATGCTTCCACCCGATTCAGACCGCTCGTCCTCCCCCCTGTTGTTACTTGTGCATGTCTTTCCTCTTCTTACTTGGTGTTTTCTCTTTGTTTTGTCTCCTTTTGATTTGACCAGGCGTATTTCTTAGGAGAGCGAGCTTTCGTACACAACGTCCTTTGGACCACCATTTACAGTTTTAAAATTTTTAGTATTTTATTTTGTCAGAAAGTACTGAAAACAGTTTTTGATTTTGGAAACAGTTAGTTACGTATTCTTTAGTGGCATTTCCTTCAACTGGATGTCCGAGGAAATGTCCTGGTTAGTTTGTCTTTCCTCTGAAGCCTACGGCGGCCCTTAGAGCTGAGGTTATAGCTCTCCATGTCTGGCGGTTCGTTGCCATCTACTTTAGGTCTTGGATGGCCATTAGACCCCAAATGTCCTGGGAGGTTGATTACAATGTCATAGTCGTCTGTGAAAATGCTATGGTTGTCTGCAGAAATGTCCTAGCTGCCCGCGGAAATATCACTGAGGTCTGCGGGCACATCCTGGAGGTTACGAAAATGTACTGGCTGCCCGAGAAAATGTCCTGATTTTGTACCAAAATGTCTGCCTTATCATGTAGCAGCTACATTGTTGGTCGATTTTTCGAATGTTATTATATCAATCTGCATCCCCTTTGTGGGATGCAATTTTTTTTTTAAAGTCCCACCCTGGCTTTTGCGGGGGGTCCTAAATATAGCCGGGTCTTAAACATGGCCAAACGGCTAAACAGGGTTTCCAGAACCTTTCCACGGGTGATCCTCATTCACATGGTGGCATTTATGTCACCGGGTGTTTACCGCTTGTGTGATGTCCTGTTGGGGTACAACTTACCTACCTAGCTTTCTATTTTCTCTTTCTTTCGTTTATCAGAAACGACCGTCATGCATATAAGAGACTGAAACAGCAACAGCAGCAGATGTAGCGTTAGCTGAAAGTTGTCATTTTTTTTTTTTTTTTTTTTTTTTGGTGACATTTGATTAGCTGTACGGTTTTCGTGGAAACATCCCCCCCCCCCCCCCCCCCCCCACTCACCGACTTTTTCTGTCTGCGGGTGCCAAAAAGTTGAAGAACACTGTTTGTTCTGACGTTTGCAAACCAAACGCAGGTTTTGGTGGATGTCAATGGTTTTACTAGGCAATTCATCGATTAGCAATAGGTCATTGAACGGTTTGCTCTCGATACCGTTGTCAAAATGAACGAAAAGCTGTCTGCTGCCAAATCGCTGACAAGTACTGGAAAATATAACTAGGGCTATACTGAATATTCGCTTCGTATTCGCTTCGGGGCCGAATAGTGGACCTAATAACTATTCGGTATTCGGCTTAATACTTGCGGTCGGGCCGAATACGAATAGTGGTTACCTTCCACCCGTTTCGCGCCAGCAAGGAAAGAGGTGCCAGGGAGAACAGAAAAAGCGCTATACGGACACTGAAGACTGCACTCCATTCTTTTGGCATCAACACAGCGACGTGGGAGGCTGCTGCACAAGATCATTCTGGATGGCGTACGTCCCTCAGACATGGTGCATCGGCCTGCCAGGCAGCAGAGGTTGCACAGGCAGAGAAACGGAGGCAGACTCGAACTGAATCGTACTGCTAATCCCACACCTACTGGGGCTTCCATATGTTGTCCACACTGCCCAAGAACTTTCCTGACTCATATTTGACTAATCAGCCACCTTCGTGCTCATAATCAGTGATCATTACTACTTTGGATGAAAGTGGTCTTCATCACTCGTGATGGACGAACAACACGTATTTCCAATATGTTTCTCTTGTACGAGCCACGGACCATCAAGGTCACCCCGAGGTCACCAATATGTTTCTCTTGTTTGTATCCTGGGAAGTGGTTTGATTGCTGGCTCGGTGGCAAACAATAATTTATCTACTTCTAACCCTTGAGGCCTTTGCTTCGTTAACGTAGACACTCCCTTAGCCACATCAGCTTTGTTTAGGGCTATTTCGTTCTTAAAGATCATACTTTACCCTAGATTCAGCTATGTCGCACTGCCTGGCGAGAACAGAGACACGCATATCATTCTCGTCTTTAGTTATTATTTCCCTCTTGTTTCCACTATAATAAGTGTAGGCTTCTTTACACCACTTTCACTAGCACTTTTCACTTTCTTGGGATTCAAACTGAGAGTGAATTAAATGTATAAACAACAAAACCACAAACAATATTCACGCAAACCTGAGTACAAAGGTTGCCATTTGTGAGCCAGAGAATGGCTCCAAGGCCATGTTTTTGCTTTCGTGTGCCGAAGTACTTACGCGGGTGGAGTAAAAATGTGTTTGGAAATTGTGTTCGCGAGCCACTTTTTGTATGTCTAGAAAGGTTTGTGACCCGAGGGTGACAGTTCTGGTCTCAGCAGAAGTGTATTATTATAATTATTGGTTCCTGGTTGGCATGACTTTCTCTTTTGAACATATACTTGATTTTCGGTACCATAGAATTAGTGTTAACACGGTTTTACTATGATTTTTCGCATTTTCACTCGTAACAAAGGGCAGACAAAAAGTACTTACTATTCCTGTAGCATCCAAAGTGGCCGTTGTTGGGGTCCAGCTGCCTGGGTGGCCGACAGACACAAGTTTTGCCGTTAACACAGTCTGCATAGCCATTGATGCATCTCCTCCATGGGCATTGCTGGCCACTAGCTACAATTGTAGAAAGTAAATGCTGAGTTTTGAATGTGCATGGTTTTTCTTATGATCTGTGTTTTTGTTGATGTTGTTGTTTGCGCTTTTACTTCTTTTTCTTCTTCGTTTTCTTCGTTTTCTTCTTCTTCTTCTTCTTCTTCTTCTTCTTCTTCTTCTTCTTCTTCTTCTTCTTCTTCTTCTTCTTCTTTTTCTTCTTTTTCTTCTTCTTCTTCTTCTTCTCTCCCTGCCTTTTACATTTTCTTATCCTCCACCACCTCCTCTTTCACCTCCTAATCTTCCAACTACTACCAGCAAGCCATCTGGAGAAGGTACTCTGATCACCAACTTTCAAGGTTAGATGAATAAATCTTGGTTAACTATGAACTAAGGAAGCTCTTTCTAACAGAAAATAACGCTGAAGTAGGATGTGCTGGGCCAAAACGATACATTATATTGGAAGCGAATAAAAGGGCTAGTTCCAGAGATCTCTATCTACCCTGAAGCTGACATTCCAGAAAGATGTCACAGGCGAACCTGAAATCTACAGCACCACATAACTCCTCCTTGTAACAAGGAGAACTGGCAGTTCATCAAAGCGACAATATCTAGTTGAGAGGTTTTGATTGACCATGGATAAAGGAAGCTAATCCTGATCAAAAGCATACTGCAGTCGGAGCTGCCAGGCCGAAAGGAATAGTTATTCATGATAGGTTTCACAGTCGAAATGTTTCCTTCTTAGTGATCTTCTTTTTCTTTTCTCTACTCGTGGAATGCCTCGTAGCGTCACAGTAGGAAGAGATCACTGCAACTGGCCCTTCTATTCGCTTCCAGTGTAATGCTTACTGGCTGAAAACACCGGTGTCAAGTTTTTGTTCTCTCGTCCACTTCTAGATTACTTCCGTCTTGCTTCAGAATTTGAGTTTTGTGTGGTCCACTCCTAGACTACTTCCGTCTTGCTTCAGAATTTGAGTTTTGTATGGTCCACTTCTAAACTACTTCAGTTTTGCTTCAGAATTTGAGTTTTGTATGGTCTACTTCTAGACTAATTCAGTCTAGCTTCAGAATGTGAGTTTTTCATGGTCATACGGTTTTCAGATCCATCCTATTTATATGCAGACTGCTGGTTCCTGCCTTTCAGACAGACGCACTTATACTTCGAAGAATAAAAAAACCGTTAATTAGGCCCATTTTACAACATTCTTTTTAGGAGAGTGAATTTATTCTCTTTTCTCCCCCCCCCCCCTCACCCGCCCCCCGCCCCCCGCCCCCAAATGCTGTCCCGGAATCCATGCAGGGATTGATTAACTGGAAAACTGTGGTACTACACTACTCATTGTTACAGGGAGAACATAACAACGATGAAGAAAACATTAAGAAGACAAATATCAATCAATCATTTGCCGTCTTCACAATGAAGGTTGGCTGCAATGGATCTCCAACAAGCCCTGTTTCTTGCCCTTGATGTACACTCACTCATACTGCTCTTCGTCCATCTCTTGATGTTATCCTCCCACTTGTAACGCTGTCTGTCTTTTGCTCGCCTACCTTGAACCTTTTCCTCTAGGATGATCTTTACAATACTGTTATGTCTTTTAATATTTCACTTGTCTCTTTTTTATTTCACCTAGCAACTCTCTTTTCATTCCCAATTTCCACAGTACCTCTGTATTTGATAGCTTTTGTTTCCATGAAATACGACCTAATCTTCTGTATATCCACATCACCAAAGAATTGATACGATTTTCCAGTTGTTTGTTCATTGTCCATGTCTCTGTGCCATACAGTAAGGTTGAGAATACATAACATTTGACAATTCTCATTTTTAATGTATTGCTTATTTCTCTTGATGTCAGTAACTTTTGCATGTTGTGGAAAATGTTTTTGGCCATCCCTATTCTTTTCTTGACTTCTGTTTCACTTCTGCCGTCACATGTTATTACTTGTCCAAGATATAAGAAATTTTTAACTTGTTCCAATTTCACCCCGTTCACTGTGATATTCATTGTTAGCTGATTATTTTCTTTGCTAAATATCATGGTTTTTGTCTTTTTCATATTTATATCTAGTCCAAATTCTGCACTCCTTCTGTTTACTTGCTCCACTAGGTCTTGCAACTCATGCTCACTCTCTTCTAGCAACACTGTGTCGTCAGCATATCTCAGATTGTTTATTATTCTACCATTGTCGCCTAGTTGAAAAGGCTAGGCGACAGCACACATCCTTGTCTTACTCCTCTCTTGATCTCTATCTGGAGTGAGCAGATGTTGTCATATCTTACTGTTGCTTCTTGCTCCCAGTATAAGTTTCTAATAAGTCTTTTTTCCTTTCCATCTAGTCCTATGTTTTGAAGAGCTGCAATTAGTTGTTCATGTTGCACTCTGTCGAAAGCTTTTTTGTAATGTATAAAACATGCATAAATATTTTTCTGAACTTCTATATATTTTTCAGTCAGCATCTTTAGACAAATTATGGCCTCTCGAGTACCACTGTTTTTACGGAATCCAAATTGCTCTTCAGAAACTTCTTTCTCTATTTTATCTTGAATTCTTGCTTGTATTATCTTCAAGAGTAACTTAGTTACGTGACTCATTAGGCTAATAGTTCTGTATTCTTCACAATCAACAGCTTTGCTAAGACAATTATACTCACTTCCATTTGTGACCACAATTTGCTGAGCTTCCGCCAAAGCAAATATGATCATACATAATATTACTTGCCACATGATGCTTCCGGAAACTTAACTCGGGCTGGACAGCGACCACTCAGTCTCAATCCCAGCAGATATCACAACCATATATAGCTGATTAAAGGCCATAAACACATCAGAGGATATCAAACGTGAGTACCCCAGGTGAGAGCAGCGGGTCACATTTGAGCATTCATTGATTTCATATTTAGCAGTCAGAATTGAAGACCACAAGAAATACAGTACCCTTGAATAGGCGTTGGGACGTGGGGGACGGGGGTGTAGTCTCCACTTACCCCCACCCCTCCCCCACCCCACAATTTCCCCAATCACTTTAAAAAAAAATTTGCATGGAAACTTACTGTACGTAGTCGCTCCTGAAACATATACAAAAGTTCTCTTTTTTTAAGTATATATTTATACATTTCCTATTATTTCAAACTTGTTTTTTGAAATAATTTACCCTTTAGCACAAAATACTCACAAATGATGCTCATAATAATAACTAATATTATTATTGTTATTATTATTATTATTATTATTACGCAACTTAAACTAGGCTTCAGCCCTTTGAGCCACCTAGACAATTAATAGTAGGCTGAGACTACCCCCAACCCCCACCCACGCCCTTGTTTTCTCTGTACTGGCGCTCCTGTTATTCTACAAGTGTTGCAAAACTTCAGTTTATTATATCACACACGTAATTTGATGAGATCAATCCATGGGTGTTGGGCCGGCTTTCACAGAATATAAAACTTGAGGAGTAAAAACCACTCAACACAAAACTGGGGGAGTGAAAATTACACAACACAAAACTGGAGGTGAAAACCCCACAACACACACATCACCATTATACGGTATCTTGCTTCCCGAGGGTGGGGTGTTAGGGGTGGGGTGTTAAGTCCTTGCTCTTGATCCTAGGGCATCATATAGGGCAGAGGTCATAACTCTTTGTGTTTGGCGGTATTGTGACACTTTTTGTAGGTCGTGAGTGTTTATAGGCTCATTGTTAAGCATTCTCTTATGATAGTTCTGCACAAGATCTTTCTTAGTCTTCCCCGTTTTCTTTTCCCTTTCGGTTTCCGATGGTGTTATTTCAAAGTTTGAGATTTGAGCAACGGATCAACTCATGGTACACGGGTAGTAACCCGAAATTGCTCCGTTCTTTTTCTTACTCAAGCCCGAGTTGCCTGGGTCAAAAGAAGCTTACCACAACGCACAGGCTCTTTAGCACCGGCGAGGATCCTGAAATACTTTGCATAGATTTTTTAACTCCAAATATTTTGCCCGGGCTGCGCCGTTAGGCTATTCTTTTCGATTTCCGACTGCAAGGGATTTTTTACATGCGCAACAATGCACACGGGCGTCCGATCTGATTACCCAGAGACCAGGGGGGGATTGCTATCAGTCCAAGTTCACGTGAAAAAAAACCTAGCTCTTGCCAGCGGTTAAACCCGGAACCTCTAGCACTTCGTGGCTTCGAGACCACACTGCCCCTTGTGTTATTTCAAAGTTAGTTGTGTTACGGGGGCCACAGCACCAAGGGATTCTGCCTCCCGAGGAACCCCAATCACTTCAACTCCTACCTGTCTGGAAATCTTGTCTGCTCCCCGAAGCAATTGTTGTTCTTTTTCTAGGTTTATACATCTGGTTATCAATAAGCAGGTTTTTAACAAAAGTCTCTTCCCTCTAGGCACGTTTGAAAGCTTCTCTATCTGTAGCCAATTTTCCAGCCCTATATGCTTTCCTAGAAATGCATCTTCAATATCTTGTATCCACTTTCGCGGAGGTCTGCGTCTGTATCTGTCTCCGTAAACTGGTCAGTCTATCACCGTTCTCTCCAGGCCACCTGGACATTTAACATGGCCAAAATACGTGAACTTTCTGGACAGGATGCTGATTGTGAGCCCATTCTCTGGATGCTTAGATCCTGTACGATGTCGCAGGATTCACCTCAAGCATTCTGTAAAGTCTTCAGTATGTTCTAATTCATGCTGCCATTTTCCAAAACTCTTCCTCTTCTTATGGCAGAAAGATTGTGGCGTTGTGGCTCATGTCTATCAAAAACCTTCTGCCCTGTGCACTTTCAATCAGTTTGGACACACCTGATCTTCCATGTCATGATATCAGACTGTCCAGCAGCTTCTTTCTCGGTCTCTGTATCATTTTCCCTCCAACTCTTCCACCATTACCATTACCATTTTCGCCTTTTCATAACATGACAAACGAATGTAGATTCCTTTGTTTTGTGTGTTGGTTCTCTTCGTGAGTCGGTTTCTTTCAAGACATCTTCATTATTTTTTATCCGTTCAGTGTATTCTGGTCATTCGTCTACAAAACTACACCTTTGCCGATTACAAATTTTTTTTTTTTTTTTTTGGGGGGGGGGGGGCGGGGCATATTGTGAGGAGAGGATGACCGAACAGTTAGAACTCTGGGCTCGAATCCTCCGTAAGGCTGGGGGATTTTTTTCAGTCAGGGGCAAAATCCTCAGCTGCACAGTCGTGGCGACAACACTAGCCATGCGCACGTAAATCCTCAGGCTCAAAGACCTCCCTGCCCACACCACAAAAGTGTCAAGAAATGGACAGGACTAAGTTATCACACACTTATTCATCAAGTGGAAGACAGAGAAATATGGCGGGTGTTGTGTCCTAGTGCTTCCACCGATGAATCTCCACGACCCTAACGGGTCAAGGGTTAAGTAATGTTACAAAATTAGGACATAATTTATACAGCTCTTCCAACATTCAGTGGTGTGGTATAATAGTATTCATAACATGATGCTTTTGAAGAGTCAGAGTTTTGCTGGAAAAAAATGTTTTTTGCTGACTATAAGTAGCTTCTGAACAACAAGCAGTCATCAGAGCAGCTGGCGAAACATCGGATTGGTTCGAGGTGCAAAAGGGAGTGAGGCAGGTGTGCATTCTCTCACCATACCTATTCAATATATACGCAGAAAATATGAGCAACGTCAAAAATGAAAATAGTGTCCACATAAAACCTTGTTGTCACCCAAAAATAACAATAAATGATGAAGAAATTGAAAATGTCACAAACTTTGAATATCTAGCCTCTCTAATAAATAGCAACGGAGACTGTTGAACAGAAATTAAAAGGAGGATGGCCATAACAATGAAAGATTAAACCGCATTTACAGTCTATGGTTAAGCACCAGCAAGGAGATCAAAATTAGAATTTTGAGAGCACGCATCTTCCTTTTTGCAACATACGGATGTGAGTCGTTGACTATCTTCTAGTCCTAAAGAAAGAGAATAGGAGCTTTTGAGCTGAAATGCCATAGAAAGATTCTCAGAATATTTTGGACAAAGAAGAGGAGAAATACTGACATTTTGAGAGATCTGAACATCAAGGAAGATTGGCTAGTAAACACTCGGAAGCTGAAATAATTTGGTCATATCAAGCGCCACGTCGGATTGGAAAAAAAAATTATAGCAGAAAGCATGGTACCACGACCAAGATGGGCACAGCATATAAGTGACCCCTTGAGTATGAAAGTACATGAGGCGCGAGCGCTGGCGAGAGACCTAGTTTCTTTCAGGCAGACCGTGATGAGAGCGACGTTCTGCAAAGGACATGCTACATGATGATGATACCTAGCTTCATCTGCTTCCGTAAGGTACCGGTCACTTGGCGTTGCAATCAGATAGTCCTGGTTTTGGTATCGGATCTCAGCCCTTAGCTGACCAGGGAAAGTATTTCCAAAATCTTAAACAACGTTCTCTACATGGGAATAGCCGATCTTCGGCTTTAACATCACGCCGGTCGCATTTACTTTCCTCGACCTTTGTTGTTACCTATTTCTTCTTCTTCTTATTTTTCTTCTTCTTTTTATTCTTCTTTGATTTCACTGGCTGTAAACTCCGAAGGAAAGTTCTAACTATTCGTCCACCTTTAGACTTTGGTCTTTTTCCAGAACTTGAACTTTGCTTGCACATTTGTTTTACAAATTAGTCTTATTTGTAGGCAGATTATTGGCTAATTGTCTCTCAGGCAGATCCCTTCGACTTCAAAGGAAACTCCTAATAAGTCGACTCTTTCAACATGCTTGTTATAGACGCTATAAGTCTATACATTTGCCCCCCCCCCACCCATCAACCCCCATAATGGGACCCTGTTACCCATACGGGGATGTGCCCATTTAAAGATGGGTCTAACTGAAAAAAATAATAAATAAATAATTTTCGCCCTAGCGTTTTCGAACCCAAGATCTTCGGTTCTCATAGACGCGCCCAGTCACTGCAGTGCTGTGTCTCCTGTTTAAAAATATATTATCAAAAAACGGCGAACATTAAGGACTTACAACTCGGCTGTTTCTGTTATTTTGCTGACGTAGTTACGTTTTTCCGATGTGTTACTTAACTGTCTGCTCGTCAAATTTCATTATAGCTATAAAATGTCATCATGTCTGCAAACAACACTTTTTTAAAATCTCAACTTAAACGAAAATCTATGGGTAATAAAATGAGATGAGACACCCTGTAGACAGGATCTCAGTTTGATTTTATAATCGTTAACCTTTGGCTGAAAAGCGACACTAACACCAGCTAAAATTATGGGCTGTCAGAAAGAAGACGTGGGTTTGAATCCTAGGTAAGGTGATGGACATTTATACCGATGTGGTCCGGGTGCGGGGGGCGGGGGGGGGGGTGAGAAAAAAAGGTGGGGGGGGGGAGGTGGCGAATAAAATTTCTAACCCAAGTTCGTAGCGACCGCATCAGCTCTGTGGTCAGCTATTAGTGGTTTTTAACCTGGTTTGGGAGGGGCCATGAAGTTTCAGAAGAGAAAAGTGGCCTTAAAGCAATGTGGATATTATACTACTGTAGTGAGTCCTTCCCGATAAATTATGTGTAATAGTAGAAATGACGTAAGATTATGAATAAGAATAAGATAATTTAATTTACCGGGGGGGGGGGGGGGACCGTTGGACGAGAAAATGTTGGCCAAAATTAACGAGGCGTTTAACCCGGGTGAAGTAAAAAGCACAAAGATCAAGAGCTTTGGTCAATCCAGAA